ATACAACTCAACTAACGCCTTCTACGAAGGCTAACTTTCATAATACAACGATGTTACATTCAATTCCAAAAGATTGGCGGTCCTAAAAACCTCACCCTAATCGTATATAATAATTCAATTTTCGCCAACAAAGCTGCCTTAACGTCATAAAGCGGCCGCCTCATCATCGAGCCGTAACCACTGGCCAAGAAGATTAATATCACCCAATTAATTAAAGAAATTAAAAATTACCAAATCAAGCTTAATTCCGCAAAGAGCTAAACGACAACAACAAACATTTAACGCCTTAATAAAATAGCACTATTTTAGAAATTCATTTAGCCTCAACACCTGCCTTTCGAAAATAGACTTACTACCAAGCTCCAACATACTCCACCATTCGAATCGCAAACGCCAAGACTTTATACGACCTACTAACAAAACAACACCTACAAACGACATCACGGATAAACAAGCAAAGCAACATAAAAATATTTAGAACGTAACAAAATATCCTATATAAATATACTTTAAGCCTCCAATAAATTCCAATTCGCTAACGACACAAAGAATACAAAACCAGATTTACTAATACAACGACTCCGACCACCTACGAACAAACCCAAATAAAAAAGATTCGATAAATTATATAATCTCAAAAAACAACACAAACTACCATGCTAATATCCTCGAATACATTCCAAATAATCCAGAATTCCCAACAAAATTAAAACACCTCACGAAATACAATATTCCTACCATTCTTCCCCTCTTAGTTTCCTTAATAATCAATATCATTTAGCATTATGACATAAAGCTGCCTACTATGTCTAAAAAACCTTAAAATAAATATTTTAGCAAAATAATAGGAATTAAACATAAGAAAAAAAATATACAGAGGATAAGTCTCAAAAATAAGAAAAGAAAAGAATTGGATTTAGAAATAAGAAAGGAAAAAAAAAGAAAAGAATAGCAATACTCTAAGACAAGAACATAAAATAGATACGAAGAGCAAATGATTAAAACAACATATTAGATGATGTTTCAACACGCGGAAAAAAAATATAAAAAATAGCCCTCCGTCGACCTAAGTCTAGCGGACCTAGCCCCAATGGACCTAGGTCCACGGAGGGCTATTTTTCCTATGTTTTTTTCCTATTTTAGGGATGGGGATGCGAAAACCGTCCCATTTTTCAATTCCTATTTTTAAATTTAAAAATAAAAATACATCAAAAAAATATAAATAAAATAAGAAAAAAATAATTCACCCCAAAAAAATAAGAAAAACTACGAAAAATAACCCTCCGTGCACCTAGGTCTAACGGACCTAATCCCAGGATACTAGGCCTAACCCCGGCTAGACCTAGGTCTAACGCTAGCCCCCAATGCATATAGGCCTAACCCCGGTGGTCTAATAGACCTAAGCCTTGCCCCGGTAGCCCCTATTTGGTATCAATTTAATGGTTGTTTTTGTTGTCAATCCTATTTTATTCCTATTTTAGGATCCTATTTTATTTCCATTTTTTTCCTAACAATATATATTTCTAAATATTCCAGAGATAACAATAATTTTTTCTTTCATAAATTTAATAAATATCCTAGACAAAAAATCCTTAACTACCTCTTCGATAACTCAAGCCACGAATAACACAATCAACAATTATATTCAAATTACAAAACGACCATTCCTAACCTTAATCGAACTTCAAAAAAAAAAGAATTTTAGATCAAAAAGACCCAATAACCTTCGTAACCGAACGTCCTACGAATAACCAAACCTCTACCAATCCAAACAGACCAACAACGTCTCGTAAAAAATAACGTCGCACCAAAACAATAAGAATGTAGAACCAAATAAAAAAAACATATATAAAAGAAATGAAAATAAGAACCAAAAACAAATACCGCAATACAATCCTTATGGATACCCATATAAAGCTTAGAAAATACTAGCGCTCATCATACCGGCGCGCCAGCCAGCGAACGTAACCTTCGCTTGCGGAATACAGCCTCGGAACCTCTTCCCTCTTCCACCGATATAAATACCAGCCTAAACATGAGAATTAAGTAGCATACAAATCCCTCAACTTATTGATTTCACCCTATCACCCTTTTAGCAGAAACTCCCCCGACCCAACGCAGCTAACACTACGCGCATAACCTACGCCAATGGCTTCGTAAGCTGTGAAAAGGATGTGGCCGTTCTTTAAGCTTTGTCTTTAAGAATGGGATCCACTTTACACTTTATGCGGGATTCCATGGTGCTACCCTTATATATATATAAATTACTAAAATAGATAATATAATTCAACAACATATTTAGACATTAACTATATATATAATAACTATATTATTTTATCATTTCAAAAACTTCTCATTCATTTATATAATATTGTTCTTTATTGACATTTATATTGCGAATTGTAAAGATCGAACCTAAAGAACGAAACTAATTATTGGGCTACTTCTCGAATTTCCACACAACAGGATTCTTGCAAATTTTGACCTTCTCGCAGGCTTATCGAATAGAACTCAGCCATGCGACGCTTGTTCGGAAGATTTCAGCCCATTCCAAGGCACCTAAGGCAGTGGACCTGCCCTCGGGCACCGCAAAAAAAACAAAAAAATCTTCGACGCAAGGGACACACATGGTGTGGTCGTGCAAGTGAGGATTCGCACGGCGAGAGAGGGGCGATGCAAGTATTCGTACGTCCGGAAAACACGTCCAGGTCGCAGTCTTTCGATTTTTTTTGAGGCGTCCAGAATTGCCAAACACTGTATTGAAGGTATTGAAGGATGTCTGTGTTGGGTCCAAGTTCACCCAATGAAGCGCATGGAAAAAGCCTGGAGCTATAATGGCTATCCTATCTACTCTTGCAGGTATCACCCCAGGCCACCAAAACCTCACCGATCTGTGTCAAGCCGGCCTAAACCTCACCGGTCCCCTTCGAGCCCCGAGGTCTACGGCAATAGAATCAAAAAGATCCATCCGAAGGCCTTCTGCTTGACCATCATCCATCGAAGCAGCAACACCGTGTGGGGATTGCAGGAGTATGCGTATACGCAATGTCAGCTGCTGAGGAAAAAACATGAACGAACAACTTATGATTGAATGACATTTTATGGCCTGTTTCCTTTATTATTAACTCTGGTCTTCTGAAACCCTCCTACTAAGAAAGCCAAGAAATGCATGTTCTTTCAGGGTGAAGCGGGAGTAGCTCCCGCTCAGTCGAAAATGCTGTCGATGAGTTCGTCCACGTCCAAGGAGTCTTCTTGGGCATCCGGATCCTGCAGGACTCACAGCCTTCTGATCCAAGTCCAATCGAGCTCAAGAAATATCCCTTCTGAGCTCGTGATCGGGACTGGACCAGGTGCAGGGACAGGTTGCCATCTGAATTGGGGTGAATGAACCGGATCCCAAAGGCTCCTCTTGATGTAGGGTGCTCAAACAACGATGAAAAAAGGACCCCCTGAAAGGGCCAAAGGGTCCGAATGGTCCGAACATCGATCAGATGCACTTGTTTGGAGTCTCACATTTCCATCAGTATACCGCTGGATCGGCAAAAAGAACAGAACGGATCTTGCAACGGGCTCCTTCTTCGGATCTTGTTTTCGCATGTGGTTTCCGCACGGTGCAGCTCAGTCCCCGAAGTCCCCAGTTCTCACACTCTCCTCTATCTTCACCTCCCGCACTTCAACGGAAGAGAAGATCTCATCCAGGAAGGACTCGACATCCTCTCGCCACGAGCTCATGTGATTCATATGAGTCCCATCTGAGCCCACCAAAGCAGGGTGTAAGGTTGGTAGGTGGCAAACCCGACCTCGGGACTTGATAATGTGGACAGTTTGATGGTATTTTTTGTAAAACAATCCGGTGCTTCTGCTTTTGTGGGACAGCTGGAGCCAAATCGAGGACTGGCTGGGATGGGGGAGATGGAGACTTGTATGGTAGAATGGGTATTTGCGCAATGATGTGTAATGTAATCCTGAATCTACGGATCTATTTGATTCGACTTGTGGGTATATAACTCACCGGCATGAAGCTTCTAGATCCAATGACAACCACACTCGGAAACGTCTCATCTGGGCCTCTGCTCTTGGGTCTGAGTTGGCAGGGGATTTCATGGGCTGTTGGGTTGAAAGCATAAAATCACGCAATGATCGATGGCAGGTCTGGCGCTCTGGCGCTCTTTGTTGCTCATGCGGCACCGTGGCACTGCATCTGGTCTCCGCTGTCCCCACTTTGCAACAACAGCCACGCGGAACAAAGAAGACTCAAACTGCATTTTCAGGTCACAATCCGGGTGACATATCAGACCTTCCAATCTAGAATGAAGGCATGGGAATTCCTTTTGCGGCATTGTATGCATTGCCGCATCATTGGCTGATGTACCACCTCTATACTGTTCCCTCCCCAGATCCTCAAACAGGCCCGAAGCCGAGGAAGCTGAACGCTCCGCTGGATTTGAAGATTCTTCCACTGCCGCTGCTGCAGCCCCCTGGGACGGGAAACACACCTTGGAATAATGTAGAATGGAAGACCATGGAAGACCAAAGACCCTACAACCATTCCCAACCAGCAAAGAGGCTCCTGAGCCCTCGTCGGATGGGCACCGAGAGGCAAACATGCAAATACAAAGAGTCTTGCGCGGTGGTTTTCCAGTTCCCCAACCAAACAATTTTTGATGTATATGGAGCATGCAGCATGCGTATGATATGTATGTGCTGTACCGTAATTTCATTACCATGCCGTTTTGTTGATTCGGGTTCCAGGTGCTAGTTATAGACGTTCGGGTTTGTGATCCAAGCGCATCCGCGCGCGCAGTACGCAAGGGGTAGTCAAGCAGGTTGTACCTGAAAAACAGTACAACCATTCAAACACGACGTCCATTCGGGTCCAAGTACCTACGGCACCTCCTATCCCGTCCGAACCCTGGTACTGCGCCGTCGGACGTTCAAGAATGATTCCCCAAACATCCCAAAACACTGCCACCATGGCTAGCTGAACGCCCTTGTCCATGCGGAGAAGACGCTTGTGGCTCTGTCTGGCTTCGGCGGATGGCAGCCTTCGCCTAGCTTCCGCAAAGCCATCGACCTATAGGACCTACACACCCGGGGTCTGAGACCGAACCTGAAGATGTACCGGAAGACCATGGAACCCGGATACCAAGCTGGGCCTGGTTGTCAGGTTCGGGTCTGGGAACCAGGGTGTAACTGATTTTACTATCCACACCCAATGACCCTTTGCAACAAGAACTGGACTCTGTGGACAAATTCGCAAAGCATGTCTTTTCGTGGATGAGATTGGCCAGCTTTGGAGAAGCCTTCATCCTTTCAGCACGTGTCCTTGTCCACTCCTCTAGTTTTGCTAGAGGCGACAGAAGGACAACGTTCTGGACATGAGACGTCTGCCATGGTCACAATGCGTACTGACTGAGGTCTTAGGCATGTCACCTCCCATGCGAGTGCTCAATGGGAGTTGCCTCGCTTGGACTTCTTGCATTCCAGCCATGCTACCCAAAGCCAGCGATCCACCCCAAACTAACATCCACCCCAACATGGACATCATAAACCCACACAGAATCACAAACAACTTGAATTCTATCTTGCGTGCTCGTCTCACTTAAGAACTAACCGAGGACTGACATGTACTTACCAATGCTCGGCTACGAGTTTAAACACGGCCAATAACATTAATGTCCGATGTTACGTGCTCCACATCCGCCATGAAAGGAACCTCCACATCCGGACCACACACAGAAGGTGCCTTCACCCGCGCCGTACTCGCACGGCGCTGTGCGGCGCCGCTGCGCAGCGCCCCGCTGCTGCGCAGCCTTGCGCGCAAGGCCCGGTCAGGCACGGGCGCAGTCTCACGCCAGGCCTAGCGATGGTTTCGGCCCCTCTACGCCAGGCCTACGAAGGTTTGATCGAAGCGTTTTTGGTTTGAGACACTTTGAACAAGGGATTCACTATGCTACTCATCAATGTTTTACATTGTTCCAATCTGTTTGTATATGTGGGATAGTTTAGTTGGGAACCCACTCCAACCCAGGGTTTTTGGTCGATATGGCAGGTCTCTTGTGGGCCACGTATATTCACGTATATATATATACACCATATTGTAATGTGGTGTATGTTTTTGGAGTGGAATGCTGGATGTGGGATATAGCCAAAGGGAAACAGCACATCTCAAATATCATCCTTTCATCATTGGTGGAGGGAAGCTCTGACTGATCGTTGGTCAAGCTTTGCTACTACCTGGACTCCTTTCTGGGTGATCCCAAAGAAGATCACAGGACGGTGTACTTGTTTTCGTGTGCTGGATTCATTTTGCTATCTTGCATCAGTGAATGACAGCGGTCCGATTAGACTCATCAGAACTCCACTTGCTTTTCGACGGAATCCGTTTCTCTTGTGGGAAACTTTTTCCCAGACCATCGGACTGAAATATTTACATATATATCATTACTGTATATATCCTTACATTGGTTGAACAGGAGTCCATTGATCGGCATCTCCAGTCCAGATGGTCTGGGTTTTGTGCTGTTTTATTCGCTTCCAGGGCTCGAACGCACCTGGTGTTGTTCCAGGGCTCGAAAGCCAGATCGCCCGCATCTCACGGGCGGTTGGGCAAGCATCCCGAGTGAGCCTAGCATAGCCTAGCTGGTGTGTTGCGGTTTTAGCCCCTCGTGCGGTTGCTTTGGTTTGGACACCTCGGGGATCCACAGAAATGGAATGCGGGCTGTGGGCACATCAACCTGATCAACCTTTCTTTTTGTGGCAGCTGTGGGGTGAGATAGGACAAAGCCAAGGGAGACAAAGGCCACAAGGCCAACAGTTGCTCAAGCCATGAGTCAGGTGAGTCAGGACCAGATCGGGTCAGCGGCCACGAGACATGTTCCGTGCACTGCGGAGCCCAATCAAAGCTCATGGGAGGCGCTGGGTACATGGGCAGGAAATCCGTTACCTCCAGGCCATTTAGATTCCCTGCACTGCGCTGTGTACGACAATCCAGAGTCTGTGTACGACCATCGTTCTGTATTACTACTTTGACACCCGCTGCCTTCTCACTTGATGCTTCCAGAACCTCTCAAATCAACTCGAGGCTGCAATGAGAGAACATGTTGAGCTTGCGCCAAAACCATTTGCTCCAAGCTCCGAGGAAGAAAACGGAGCTTGCTGTGCCAGTGAACCAAGGTGCGGCCCATGATCACATCGAACGTTCGAGTTGTGTTCACACACGGCCGTCCTAGTCTTGATGTGCATGATTCTTAATATGTGCTAATGTCACAATACATATGATTTTAGAACTTACATTATTGTTGCAATATCCTTTCCACGCCCAGCTGTCTTGTTCAGCAATGAGCCCGTTCTCATGAGGTGATTCTCCTGTGGTAGCATGCGCACCGCCTTTGGGCCTTTTCAAACTTGGACGGGTCGATTTTGATCAACTGCGGCCATGTTTTGCTGAACTGCCAGTGCTTGACCGGCTCAAGCCCTACAGCCCTCCACAAAAAGTAGGCAGAGCCACTCAAATGGCTAATTTGGACAAATGTTCATAAACGTTCTTCCAAATGGATCTGGCCTTTTCGCGCATTCCACGACCCTTGGAGGAGTTGGCAATTAGGTATATATATATACAAGTCTTTCCGGGACGCCGTCAAGACAGTGATTACCAACACGCACCGCTTGTGACCCCTTCATATTGTCCCTGGTAGAGCGTTGATGATAAACTCTGATAGACTTTGTCATCCAACCATAATGTGATAGTGACAGTGTCTTGGTTGGCAATATATTATGTATATTTATATATCATGTTGACAATGTCAACACTGGATGAAGCTCCCAAACTAATTGGTGGGGGCAACTCGGGGTGTGTTGTATAATCCTATTGGATTCGACACCTTGCTAGACTGGGTCTAGTCTAGTCTACCACCCGGGAACCGAAATACGATCACCACCAGTTTGGGTTCCCACATTTGGAGCACAAGGAAGTCCAAGAGCTGCAGGTTTTCCAATTTTTTGTTGCTGAGCCATTGTAGTCTAGTGTTTTAATGTGTTTTAGCTTTGCGCCGGCTTCATGGCCAATGTGGCCGCTCCGCACTCCGACGGTGCTGGAACACACAATGTGGCCGAGCCCATCGTTGTTCAAGATCGTTGTTCAATCTGGTTCCTACTTTTGGGTTCAGGCCCTGCATCATCATGATGCATCGTGACCATGTCAGGCTTGAATGGATCTGACAAGCTTCGTTCGGAGCGGTTGCGGCCAAGGCCACTCATTAGCGGGACCAGCACATGAGGGAGACACTTCACTTCGTTCGCATATGAGGCACGAAGCCCGAGCACTTCTCTCAATTGAATGGGACCAGCTATGACCAGCTAGGTCTGTAGGTCTGGCACGACTCAGCTCCGGTTTCGGCCCACGGAGCGATCGGCGTTTGGCCAGGAACGACGAGCTGTTGACGCTGGCGCTGCTGTCAAGAGGAGTTGCACACACATAGTTGCTGCAATCGGATGAGATGGTACAGACCAGAAGTCTCATTGCAACTCAGGCATGAGTTTCAGATTGCTCGTGAGTTCGCTCACTAAGAGCATTTAGTTATATTTAGTTCCTCTTGATGATCCTATATCATGAATGAAATGATTCTAACCTACTGGCACGGGCTTTCTCCCTATTTCAACCAAGACAGTACAGCTTCCTTATGGTAGCAAGACTACACCGACTTCGCCAAAGCACTATACGGGGTTCTTTGTTTACAAACCACTCTATATACATGACGCCTTACTCAGTTTGTCACATGCCTCAGGCCTGTGCCAGTGCCACACCCTACATCCGATAAAAGGACGAGCCCAACCACTCTGTGCCCTACATCGTCCCTCTCCACCTCAGGTGCCATCTCCACAGGTCCGTCACGCGCCCGCGCCTTGCGAAAGGTGTCAAGGAAATCTTGCAAACATTGGAAGAAGTTCTCGAACGCGGGGACACCACCAGACGTGGGCTCCTGCGCGCAAGCTCGAGCTCTGCGCTTGCAGAAATGGTGCAAGCTGCGCAGCTGATCTTCAGCAAACTAGCTGCGACCATGTGGCGTTTGCAAAATAGCAGACTAAGCAAACGAATGACCGACGGTCCAACTGACAGACCGATGAATTGAAACAGCCGGACTCGCCGCATGTCACTTACACGTGATGACCACTTTCACTCTTTCACCCACATGGTCACTTCGGCACAGCGCCTGGTCACTCTAACCGGAACTGATCTTCAAGTGAAACCATAAGGTTTTTGGTTCCAGGTTTTGTTGCAAACTCAAAAACTAAAGGTGTCTTCTTCTGGAAGTCGCAACCCGCGCACGACACGGCAACGACCTGTGCGGTCTACAGGTGTGGACCTTCTTCCACGTCAACGTCACTGGCATCACGGACTGGGTCTTCGGTCGGTCAACGGCATGTCTTGGGCTCCATATACCGATAGGAAAACAACACATTGAATGACATGTTGGTAGATAAGCCCTGGAAGATTCACCTGGAAGCTCCTAACATGACTAACCATCAACTGGGGGGTGTATTCATCAAGAGTCTACATCATCTTGATGAACAAACCCCCCAGTTGACTTGATGAATACTCACCCCCCCAAACACTCCATGGGACTGCCATATATGCCGCCCCATTGACCCCCAAAACCACCCCTGGCCTGATCGGCATATATATGGCATACATGGAGTGTTTGGGATTAGATGTTCTCTTCGATCCATCTGGCTTCGGCTATCGCCCGGTCAGACCGGTCCCAGTCGTAGACTCGACCTGCCAGGGTTCCTGACCGGCGTCACGCGACCGGTCGTCGCTGTCACCCTGAAACGAAAAACCGGGATGCTGGCGGCAGAACCCCCTCCGGTTTGGGAGTTTTGGGGCACAGCATGTCCACCAATTGGAAGAACCTGGTAGATTAGTCCGACAGGAATTCCACCCAAAAAGGCTAGCTTTAGTACGCACATCAAGCCATGAGTCAACTATAAAACAGCATTTTCCTGACCGAAAATCCACAGCACTTCATAATTGATATCGAACAGAAAGAAAACAGTTACAATGGAAACTCACATGCCTAATGTTTTCTCAAACATCTGCAACACTGGTGTAATAATATGATCTCAATTGTTATACTCCTGCAGTAATTCAATATGTGAACTAACTTCTCATTGATATATTCTGTGTTCACATCATCCTACACCCGTCGACTGTCCCGTCCTCAGTGCAGAAGTAGCGCTGCAGCTCTCCGCAGTGCTCGAAGGCTGAGGCGAGCTGCTTTTGTAAAGCTTCAGACTCCAAGTGGAGCTCCGCGACCAAAGCCTGAAGCGATGGAACCTGACAGAACCACCAATCTTACCACCTCTTAAAAGAAGCAATACATATATTCAGCGTTTACATATCGCAATGTTTTTGACTATATAAGACTATATATATATATATTGGTCTAGGTGTTTGGGGGTGGGTTGCTGCGCCAGTCTGTACCACAAATGACAAGTGGAAAGGGGTAAAGAAAGTCTGATCCCAAAGGTCTTACACGACAAATATATGACTTCAAACAATTGGCTCACCATCATGGCTCACCATGCTTTTCCACATGACTTTCCTGTGAGCCACGAGCCATGAGATTCTACGAATGGGAGTCGCAAACGTGAAGCATTATATATCAGCCTGTCCTTCAAGGATCACCCAAGAAAGCCTTTTTTGATCCTTTTTGTGGAGGTGTTCCTGCAGCCTGTCCCACGTTTCTTCAACGAAAAGAATCTGCATGGATTCAGCCAAATCAGTATTTGTTTGGTCAGTCCAGTCCAGCCCCTGCATGAAAAACCTGTCCTGCTTACAACTTCAATCACGACATGCAGCACAAAGCTTTCCTGTACTGCCCAAAGCACGACAGCAGGCAGTAAGCTGACCGTCTCCTTGGTCTTGCTACGGTGCCGTCATTGCTTATGCTGGACATGCAACCCTCACGCAAATTGGCTGGGAAACTGCAGGTGTACCCTGGCACGAAATGTGTTGGCGTTGCTATCCACTCTGCCGGCGGATGGGGCAAAAGCTGCCGGCTAAGGCCCATCCGAAACCCACCACCACAGTGTGCACCACACGAAGAGTTCCAAGGGGTGCCTGGCTGCCTGGCACCTTCGTGAACTCTTCGTTTCTTCCGGACAAAATCGCCCAGCTAACCGGAGCTCTGATGGCTAAGCGCAGTGGCGAACAGTTGACATGCCAGGTATTCGCCACGAACGGCCGCGCTGATGCTGTTTGGCTCTGCTGGTCAGAGCAAGGGGATTCACACTGTGCTCGTTCAAACACATGTTGGCAAGCATTCTGATAGCGTCACTTGAGGCGTGCGCAACTGGTGCTGCCTTGAGCAAGATCCTCTGGCAAACCCTCTCCACAGCGAAGTTTTCTTCTGTCTCACTGTCTTCCAAAACAGGCTGGCTCTGGAATGTGCCGTTCGCCACCCGTGTTCGCCAAGGAAGATGTTTAGTTGTTCATTGGCGCTCTTTCCACCCTCGCGCGGGTTCTGGAGAAGGCCCCGTCACAAAAAGGCTGTTAGGAAGGAGAAATGCACCCAAACACTCAAAAAACAAACCACAACACGATGAATCATGTGTTGGAGCAGTTCTGCATGCTCGTCATGGTTGTTCCCCTTTTTGCGAGGGCCTTCCACACCGAAAGTTTCTTCCTGCAAGGTTGTACAACCTTGGCCTTGGCACCGCAAAAAGCACTCATGTACAGTAAATAGCAAGCGGGGCAGCGCCACGCCGGGGTTGTTGCAAACACCACGCCGCCATAGGCAGGACCATTTCACCTTGGAGGTCCGGCGGCGTGCCTCACAGGCTATCATCATGCATGCCGCGACTTCGGCGCGGCGAGCGGGGCGACTCTTTGAATGTTTGATTTGCCGACACATTATGGCAATATGCAGCGAGGCAGCCATGCTTTCCGCCACGTGCAAGGTGGGGGGGGCCCGGTTTTGCCACTTGCTTTGTCATGGTGGGCCGTCTCTGTGCGCCGCTGTGTTGCCCGCGGCTGAGCACAAATTATCAAACAAAATCATCGATACCATGGTGATTCAATTCTGCCGTTGCACTTGAGTATGTGGCAGGGCGGCAGCTTTCGGTTTGGGACGGCCTCGTTGTGGGGGGCCGTCCGGGTCAAGGGACCCAGTTTAGGGGCCAGTTCGATTCAGTCGAGTCCATCTTTCTTAGTGCTTGCTGGTATGGTATGGATGTTTGCACCGTGCTGCTTGGAAGACATATTGTGTTCGCACGTCTTTCGAGCGGTGCCCCTGGTCTCACCCCGCGTCAGTTATGATACAAATACATGTATGTTTAGAGTTGGTGTTAGGGTCCAACTTCCTTGGGTCCTGAAAGACTTGGCTCTGCAGATCCGCCACTTTTGGAAACACCGGAAGGTTTCCAAGAACTCCCTGCACAGATCATCAAATCCGCACTTCCATACCAGCCTCCATACCCACAAGTCAAGCAGCTTGCAAAGGTCCCACGTCCACACCGGCCGTGTGACCTGTGTTGTTTTCTTCGTCAACGGCTTCGTGAAAATGCTGCAACTCCCGCTGGGCGAAGTCTAACTCCTGCGCCCGTGGCTCGTTTTCGCAAGGACATGGGACATCCGACCCTCGCCCAGGGAGGTATGCGTGCGCTGCCGTTTGGAGGTTTCGCACACCAGTGCCAGGAAAAGTGAGATGTCAAGAACACACAAACGAACTGGACCCTACGTGCAATAATAGGAGTGGTATTGGAGCTGCGATTTGGAGGAGGCCCTAGAAATTTGCTCAACAAAGACGTACGCTCTGTCGAGGCAGCATTGGCGCTGGCTTCTTCAAACCCGTCGCTTGTCCTGCTTGAACTGCTGGACGCTTTGCTTCAGCGCGCAACTCTTCTCCCGCCCCGCTGCGGTCACCTTGGACGACCATGACGACATTGCTGCTTGAGCAGCATTATCCGTGGGGAGCCACGCGGTGGATTGATGTGGCAAGTGATAGATGCGGGGCCAAGAAAACAGTTTTTCAGCGCTAGATTTCGGGGAGCTCTTCTTCCTGCAAGGGGACAAGGGACATCTGCCAGATTATACATGGTTCCACAAAGTCTGATCTGTTGTGTTCCTGACGTTTGCCTCAATGTATGGCTTGGAACCAACGCGTCCTCATGATGGTAGGGGTATTGGTAATGGTGTATATATGATAACGAAGTGACGGGAAGGATTAGGCCCTACACACAGCCAACGATCTTTGCCAAACATTGTGTGCCTCCAAATAGAACGCTATCCACGCTTGACCACACTGGCATTGCGTTGTGGAAACGCTGGGTAAGCTTGCAAAGATCCACGTGTTACGTGCTAGGGCAGCTGTTACGTGTTAGGTCTTGTAACATTGCAGCTTCATCATAGAAGGGATGCAACAGGCTTAAGGACTGTTAGTTGGCCAACTAACTGCCCCCAACGGATTGCATGGAGCATCCACATCAATCTTGAGGGTTATCGACCCGCCGTTCGTATCCTAACCCAAAACATGCATCTCCAAGTCTCGTGAGGCAGGCTCTGCATTAGATCTTCGCAGAAACTATCGCTGGAACGCCTCACGCAAAACAAAGCTAAGGGTTCGCTGTGTACTTCCAAAACCGCAGTGCTATCGCGTCGCTACGTTCTTTGTTAAATTATGGTTTGGGAGCTGCAGGTTCCCTATGGTGCCTTTTATCGTGATACTCACCTAGATAGCAACAAACATACAACTGATATCAAGCGATCACAACTTGCCGGTCCCAGAGTGTAGTCACGAGACGTGGAACTTCAGCGCTGTCAAACGCAATTTCTTGGCCTGGGTTCATGCTGGACAGTGTCGGGTCTGGGGTGGAGACCCCGTTGCTGAGCAAAGGCAAAGACCCCGCTTTTTTGATATTTCTCTTGACTGGGTCTCTGGCAATGTTGACTGCACTACATGTCCCACAGAAAACCCACACAGGTTCACCCCGCTGCTCCACAAATTCTCTGTCATGTGGGGCCTGAGAGTCAAACAAAGGAAGTGGAGCGTGGAGACGTTCCTCAGCGCCGATCAATGCACTGCTCCAAACCCACTCCCAGTTGTTGGCCCCAAGAACAACAACTGGCCTTGGCTCAGCTTAAGCCTAATGCCATGTCTGCTATGTCATGTCGACCACCAGCGTTGAGAATTGTAAGGCGGGCAATAATGCAACGTTGGCTCCAAGATGGGCGACATGCAGTGGAAAGCGCGAGCTTGGGTGTGCAGAACGCTTTTAGCCACACACGCAGCGATCAGCTTCAAGTGGGCTCAGAGACTTCCAGCAATATTCAAAGAACACAGCCAGAGGCTTGACGACAAATCACTTACCCACAAAAACACATAGTTATTGTGCCGTGTTTCTTTTGGCCATGGGTCGTGCCCTTCAGGATCTGCGGTACCCGTGCCGCTCTACTCTGCACGTTGACGTTGACTCCCGGGCCTTCGCCGCCAAGACGCGAGATTGAAAGAGCCTCATCGTAAACGAAAAGCAACTGCCATGTGGAACGGGGTGAAGCAGCCAAACGGGTGGGTTCATCACAAAAAGAAGCAGCAAAATGACACAAACCCTCTTAAGCAAGGCATCTACTCTGATCACCCTGACTCTTGATGCAACAAGAAGCTCATGACTGACATCTTTGGATGAAACAAAGAATCCCCGCTCGTTACGGAGGGGGGTCCCGGGTTTCAATTTCATTTCAGGGGGTTTTGACACACAAAAGGTGTTTCACATGTTTTCACCTACTTCATGGTGCTGATGGACTACATAGACCTGGATGGAGACGTTCCGGTCTTCGGGAGAGTTCATATCTTTCGCCCCTTCGATGCACTGAGATGCCTTCGTCTGGAAAAACATTCCCACCCAATGACGCTGAACGGACACAGGGGCCCTGTGGATCCAGTCTCTGAAAGACCCAATGATCAATCAAGAAAACGCAGTTCTTCATGTCCTTCTAAGCAGCAGAAGGTCTTGGAATCAGGTGTTGGGTCCCTAGGAAAAGTTAACCAGGTCCTTGTATGGCCATTCATGGCGCTTCAAATGCAGATATCACTACCTGGGTCTCCAAAGTACCTTGTTCGAAAGCTACAGGGCACCACCCTCAAACATGAGGAGGGTCTGCTCCAATACGCCGTTCGGCGACGCCCTCATGTTTCAGTCCACTGGTCTAGAAATTGTGCTCTGGAATTGGAACATATTGGAACCCGATGATTTTCCCTACCTACAGCAGCCCTGTTGATCGACAAGTAATCCGGCCGGCAAAGGTACTGAGATACCCTTCTGGAAATCTGATCCACTGCCAGTCCAAGCGAAGAGGAACTTCCAACAAATCCACGCAAGTGAGGGGCATGTTCTTCACAACCGTTGACACATCTCAAAATTAAGGTGGAACCACAAAAACTGAGAAATAGCAGCAAAACTGTTTTCAAGAAGAATATGATCCAATTGTGTATATATATATATGATCCCCCATGAAAATCACACGGAATCCCCCATGAAAATCACATGGAGGGGTCAGTCCTACGCATTCTTTAGTGATTTCCTGGGGAATGATGAATGTCAGCTCCCTAGAAAATGAGGAACGCAGCTTCATGAACCCGTCCGTGATTGGCGTAATCTGGTGAATCACTAGAAAATGACCCCAAATTTCAATCACACCTCTTGGACCCATGATTGACGCGTCTTCTTTTTGAACCTGCGCTTGGCATTTTCTAGTGAACGCTCTGGTGCCTTGACGTGCGATTGTCATTCTTTAGCGGATCCTGCTTTGATCCTGCTTTCTCCTACATATCTAAGTGTTGTGGGGACGCCCAAAAGCGAACAAAGCATACAAAAGCTAAGTTGATTGAACAACAGCAACCAAGCGCATGGCAGAGTCTGAGGATTTGGGTGTGCCAGGTGCTGGTCGAGACACCAAAGCCACTAGAAAATGAGGAACACACCCTAAAGACCTAGAACCCATCATTTTCTAGTGAATTGGTCTGGCTGGATTTGCCCTGGCCAGAGTGAGTGAGTGTGCGTGTGAGTGAGTGTGGATGAGAGTGAGTGTGGGTGAGCGTGAGTGAGTGTGAGTGTGAGTGCGAGTGCAGGTGAGAGTGAGTGTGAGTGTGAATGTGGGTGAAAAGTGAGTGCGAGTGTGGGCGTGTGTGAGTGAATGCGAGTGAGGGTGAGAGTGAAAGTGAGAGAGTGAGAGAGCGAGCATCTGAGAGAACAAAGTGCTGCGCCTGCGCCGAAATCTCCACTTGGAGGTTCACCAAAATGGTGTGCCTGCCACGAAATCTGCACTTCGAGGTTCGCAAAATGCTATGCCTGCCAGGAAATCTGCGCTTCGAGGTTCACAAAGTGCTGTGCCTGCCACGAAATCTGCACTACGAGGTTCACCAAGGGCTGTACCTGGCACCTGCCGCGAAATCTGCGCTTCGAGGTTCACCAAATGCTGTGCCTGCCATGAAATCTGCGCTTCGAGGTGTACAAAGTGCAGCGCCTGCCACGAAATCTGCACTTCGAGGAGGTTCACAAAGCGCTGCGCCTGCCACGAAATCTGCAAACGAGCCACATGTCGAAAAGCTACAATTCACTGCACCTGTCACGAAATCTGAGCGCCTCGAAGATCACCACCATATCCAAAGCGCTGCGCCTGCCACGAAATCTGCACTTCGAAGTAAAACCGCTCCGATCCCTTGCGCCTGTCACGAAAAGTCGACTTTGGACCACGAAAACACGAGGTTTCCCTCGGACCTGCCGCCACAAAAAGTGACCACTATGTGCGAAAATGCGCACGGAACCACAACGAGAGCACAGTCGCTAGAAGCACCCGCCGCGCCCACGCAGATTTCGCGAGCCTGCGCAATCAAAATGCATGTCGACGACTTCGAGAGGCATGAATGTACTGTAAATAGCAGCGAATTAGCTGTCCACGCCCGCGCGCTTCAGCGATCTAAGCATCAGCTGCTTTTCCATTACCGTAAGAACCCCTAGTGTGTCCACACTGTTTGGGAATCAAAATCATTTACTTAGCTGTTCACAGGCAGGGGGTGCAAAGTAGCGCCCAAGAAACGCACTCATTTCAGTTACACGAAATGGCCATCATCTTTGCTTCACAAGGGTCCCCAGCTTGAAATTGCTGATGGCCGGCAATGTCTCAATCGCGAACCCCTGGGCACCACCGTCTGTGCTGCCCTTCGTGCCATGGTTGATGTAGTTCCTCAGCGATCAGATCAATCAAGAGATGAACCAAGACCAGCACAAATGAGTACGGGAGAATAAGAAACACACGCGTCACGTGTGTCTCCACCCAGTGTCTCTCCGCCCATGTTTTTTCTAAGCATCTTGCTAGCAACTCTTGTCACGCTTGAACACGAAAAAACATCTCCACAGAAACGTAACCTTGTCACCTCGTTCTTTCACCTCCCCAGGAGTGTCCTCTCCCTTCACCGAAGGCTTTAACACAAGGGTTTAACACATCCAGAAGGCGTCGCGTCAAGCGAAAGACGCGTCTCAGCGACCGCCCCCTCTCGCCAAGGGTTGTCTCTTGTTTGGAAAAGACATGACCTGCATGAACTGGTGAAATGTGAAAAGCCAAGCAGTTGTCTGTGTGAAACGAACGGAAGGCTGTCGAGACTGTGAATGATTTTATTGGCGGCCCAGACGGTCTAAGCTACGACGGCCCAGACTCGCTGCGTGGGACTGGAATAGTTTAAAGATACAAACAGGGGTGGTTGAAGTCGGGGTCAATTGATCGGCATATATTCCATACATGGAGCGTCTGGGATTTAAAAGAAAGTCTATATAAGTGAAGAAGCTTCACGCACATGTCGACAACTTTCAGCTATATAGGAAACCATCCTCCTCCCAACCTTGAACGGCTTGAACGGCTTGATGCACAATCCGAATCCATCCACCCGAAGCTGAATCTGCAACCAAGGCCGCCCAATCAGCAAAATCACGGCCTGCTGCACACCGAAAGGAGCTTGCGAAACAAATCCCACAGATTGTTTGGCTGGAAAGAAGTGGCTGGGAGATTGCACACACATGTGATTTGTCAACACCCGCTCAATGAGACAATTGGGGTAGTAGCCATTCCCGGCCAGTGGGTCCAGGAATTACTTGCGGACGTTAGATTTTGGAATAGAAAGCAGCAGGAAATGACAGCGTGTTTTGGTACAAGTGTTTCTGGGAACACACGGGCATTTCAGAATATCAGTGGTTCAGTCGTATTGCAACCAGGCACCAGTGGACTATCCCCTTGGGGAAGTGTTTCTTTGCTGTAACTTTGATATAGGTCTTGCAATTTTTGATACAAAGTCTTAGTGAGGAAAGTTGCTACGAGGGATCAGCTGAAAGTTCAGGACCAACGATGACCTAACAATGGGACAGGAGAGGAAGCAATAGGAATCCAAACAGAAAGACAAGGAAATCAATAGCCGGAATAATAGTAATAATATGTAATAATGGTGGTGGTGGTGGTGGTTCAAACCAACCCCCTTCTGACACAAATGGGTAGTGACGTCTCAAGTTGCACCCCCTTCATGCGCCAAACGATCAAACCTCCTCAAGAAGTGTCGTGGCTGGCTGGCTCTGTGCACTCGTCCAGTAAGTAGTATGACAACCATAATCCCCAATTACATGTCCTGTTTACAGGTCACTTCAGAACGCCAGAACACATCTTGAAGGGCCGAAGGTTGCATGGACTCAATCCATGTGGCTCGTCATCAAAACATAGGGTGGATCTCACATGCTGCTAACACCTTTCAGTCAAGGCGATGACAGCAATTGTGCCACAGGCAAATACTACCTAATCCCAGACGCGAACCATGGGACTGCCATGTAATATTTGCCTACATTGGGGTGGTTTGGGGGTCAATGTAGGCATATATTCCAGACATGGAATGTATGGGAATGATAATTCATTGCAAACATTGACTGCTCTGTTTTCCAAGTGCTGCGCCATCCCTGCCAAGGAACCCGCAGTTGCTGGTCAGTGGCATACAACTCACATTCAACGAAAATGCTTCGAGCATATTCCGGCAACAACGAGCTTTGCAGCCATATTGCTTCAAGCTTTGCAGGGCTCATGTGATACACCAAATGGATATGTCTGTCCCCATGGCAAGGTTGCTCGTTTAGCTCCCAGCTTCTCCTTCGCTGGGATGGCTGCATCGACAGTCATCAACATACACCTGTTGGGTCGATGGATGATGATGGGGCCTGGTTGCAGGCCTTTCTCTGCATTTCCAGTGATGTTGATAGTGCGTACCTAAGTCAAGACCTTTCGTTTCACCCCCGAGGATCGAATGGGAATCTGTTCATGTTTCCCCGAGGATCGAAGAATCTGTGTTTGTCTTTGCGCCGAGCGTCCAGGACCTGCCGCAGCTCGTGACTGCCAATGGCCTCCGCCGCAGCACTCCGCAGGGTCTCGCAGCGCAGCTGTAGGGCTGCGCAGGCCGAGCAGTGGGAGGAGCTCAAGCGTAGCAAGCGCAAACGCGCGTGGGCACGTGGGAGGGAGCCTTGGAGGGTGGAAGAACGGTGTGGATTTGGAAGGAGAGCGCTGACAAGGACAAAACATGGAAGACGATGAATTTGATTTTGTTGCAGCAACAGGGCTCTTAATACCAGGCCGGGACAAAAATGCGGCCAGGTGGCAAAAGGGAAGAACCTTCTGCTCCTCGGAAGGTAGAAGGTGGCAAAACATGCTCCAACGGTGAAGTCATGACCACTACTCCCGCTTTTCATAAAAAAACACAGCTGCCTCGCCATGTAACCAGCAGCCCCCGATTCGCAGAACATCACTCACAGATACGACACCAAGTCGTTCGCGTGTAGCTTCCGGTCGAGTCGGAATTCACCGGTCGAGTCGGTGATGTGCTCCCTTCTTTTTAGGGCGCCCTGGCCATAGGGCCATAGGGCCGTAGGGCGGGGTCCTCAAATAGATGATGGAAACCCTTTTTCAATACATGTTGAAGGAGATCTTATCTGTTTGTATCATTTTCTAATATTTTCTATCTATCTTTGGGGGTCAGAACACCAAAAAGACTGCGATCCGGATCCCAGGGGTTCCTTCTCAAATGATCGCCCAGATCACCCGAGGTTGCGATCTTTTTCTGCTGGAGGAACAGGCGGACGCAGCGGTGGGATGGTGGGATGCTCTCTTCGTTCAAACCTAGATCTTGACATCACAAGACGAAGGCCCAGGGCCCAGATGGGCCCAGGCTACTCAAGTGGCCTGGCCAGGATACTATATTTTACTTGAGAGAGGAGGGGGGTGAACGAAAGGTAGCAGGGAATCAGGCGTAATCCGGGAGGAGGTGAGAGGCCCCCCACTTGTTTGAAGAGAAGTGAGTGAGCGTGATGAAAGAAAGACTAATGCACAAACGCTTGACAAAACCTCCAGAAGCTGTAGCGGTCTAGCGGTTTCAATACAGGTTGACGTGCCTTCAAAAGGAGTCACATATTTCTCAAGTGCAACTTCGGATTTACATAGTGACGTGCGGCGACCCTGTAAATTGCGTGGCCGCAGGCCATGCTTGCAAACAGGACGTGCTCAAAAACACTGGTATTTACGAGGTTTCGTTGCCGTCGATCCACAGCCGCGGCAAGGTCTAAGGCCACGCTTGAAGACAGAAGGAGCTGAAAACACTGGTATTTACGGTATTTTGTAGCCGTCGATCCAAAGGCGCACCACGGTTGAGCGCTGGAAAAGCGCAGAAAACCATGTAAATACCGGCGTTTTCTGCCGGGAAGGTGCACAAAACCCTGTAAATACCATAGTTTTGTGCAATTTTGAAGCCTCCAAAAGCCTCAAAAA